CAACGCCGCCGCGGTAAAGGATGGCAGAGAGAGAGAGAGAAAGACTGCAGAAAGCCGTGACCTCTGCGGCAGGATCTGTTTCCCAAACGTGTGTTAAACAGCAGCAGAGTCGCGCAGGTGCGGGCAGGGGAGAACCTGTTAAATTAAAGCCAAAGGATAAGAGGAGAGCTGTTTGCTTTGGGAGATCACGTGCAGCTGTTTGGCATGCCGAGCGCCAGCAAACTCTCCGACAGGGGCTTTCCTTCATATCCGCAGCAGACCTTGTGCGCCGCGAGGTCCTACAGCTCTCCCCTTCCTCCCCGCTTCCCTTTTAAGACCAGGGACCTCCCTCAGCTTTAGTAGCGCCTCCAAACCAAGGATACCGAAACATGCTAAACTGTGGCCATTACTCCTTTTTCTCCACCAGTTCGCCTCGTGTTGCTCCCCGACCCCGCCGCCCAGGTGCGCTGCCTGTACCGATACCCTTACTAAGGCGCCCGGGTGTCCCTCGCCGTCAGCCCGGTTGCCGGCCGCTCTAATGAAGCAGCTCCGCTCTCCGCCTTGCTGCTCGTCCCGGGGAGGTTGCAGGGGCTTCTGCTGCTTTTTTTTTTCTTTTTTTTTTGTTAAATGGTGCCGAATGATGACAGTTAAAGAGAAAATCAACCCTTTGGAGAGGTACATGGGCAGTGTTTCGCGTCTCGCATGCAAGGTTTTATTGGATTAACTGGGTACCAGATCTGCCATACAGTTCCCCTGCTGGAGAGGCCAATCTAGCTTGACTGTGGGATGAACTTCACAGCTGTGTTTTTGCCACATAGGTGACTTGCATCAAAAGTCTTTACATGCATTAACGTAATCTGCTTTTTGGCAAGCCAGCAAAGCGGCCTCTTTCTCAGTGATCTCAATCTATATCTTAATGCTACACTCATCCTGGCGTGAAGGATGTAACTCTTTTGCTTTGCTTCCCGTTTTGTCTTCTGGTGGACAGCATATTTCCTCTCCCACTTGCCCCCACGTAGGTGTCGTGGTGGCTGTGGGAGAAACCCCAGTCCTGCGGGAACAGTTCAGGCGATCCCTTTTTTGCTTCTGCAGGTGCCTGCAGCTCGGCACCTCCTGCCAGGCAATACTGCCAGCCTGTGGGAGGTATCCTTACATGCCTTCAGCTCCTTCCTCATGATTTACATATAAAGTCGATAACTGACTTCAGAGTTCATCTATATTTTTTTTTTTTTAAGGGCTGCTCTTGTTAAATTTTTCCCACGTGGCCACAAAGCTCTTATTTTCTGTAATTTCCTTCCTGTATTTTCCCATAACCCTGATCTGTTTTAACACTGAGGTGTCAATTTTGAAACAACCTGTGTATTTTCAGCCTCTTCTCCCTTACCTGCTGATTATTCCTTTCTCCCTTTCCTCTATCCCTACTTCTTTTTTTTTTCAAAAAACTGTTTTTATCTCCCCTCTCCCTCTTTACAGCTCCCACCATCTGTCTCTCTACAAATACAAAGCTTTAGGGGAAATGATTCACTAGGCTGCTAGCTCATTACTCACACTCTCAGCATCATGGTTTCTGTCCTTGTAGGATGCTCTAACTAATGTAAAGATCAATGAATCCTGGGAATTGTTATTCAATTAAAAAAAAAAAATGCCCCAGCAGTTAAATAGATTGGGCTCTTTGTACTTCCTAAACACCAACGCTTAATTTTTCTTCCTCACTCTGCTGTCGTCGTTTTTCAGAAAAGGATCATTGAAACAGAAGAACAGAAATGATCACTGGACCATTGAATGCAACCTCCTGTATCACATGATGCAGGAATTACTTAATGAAATTCCCTGGCCCAAGCCAAGCAAATCTGTGGTAAATCTAGAGCACATTTTTTAGGATGACAGCCAAAACGATGAAAGGAATTTACCACCCAGCCTTGCTAATCATTTTGAATGGTTAACTGCGCTCCCTAATATGCTGTTTTGTGAGCAGCAAAACTAACACCGCCTCATTTCCTCCACATTTCTCTCCTCCATCCTTAGGCACGCTGCGCGCCCCGAAAGCCCTCCCAGCTTCCTCTCGGTGCTCGGCAGGGTGGGCAGGAGACCAGGAGCACGGCGCCTAGCTGTAAACGCTGGTGGCCACCTGGCCACCTCCTGGAAGAGACGGAGACTAAATCACAACCGCCTCCACCCCCACTGCATGCAGCCGGCAGTCTCTCTCTTTACCCAGGCAGTCATTTCCATGAAGCTTGGAAGCACTTAATATCTTTGAGTTTCTGCCTGTCACATTGGTAGGAGTTGGCTAAAGGGGTCAGAAGCCATTTGAGAGAGACTAATTGAAACCAAAGTAGAAGTATGAATGGGAAACAAGGTGCGTATTTATGTCACTTTAGCGTCTAAGCATTAGATCTCGTTTATGTTTGTCTTTGCTAGAATAAAATGTGAAGAATTGCAGAGCAGAGAAAAATCATCATCCTTCCATATTCCAACATGCATCCTTTTGGGTTTGTTTTCCTTCAGGGATTTTCCTGGCCCAATTGGTTGTACCCTCAACTTCTGGTATCATGACCTTACTGCCAAACGACACCCAAAATTTCCAACCTCAAACCCTAACTCCTTTTGTACTCTCCAAAATATGTATGTGTCTAAAAGTTGTAGGTTTGGAGACCTGGAGTTATTTTTGAGTTGTAAAATACTTTAAATGACTTAAAAGTACCTGAGATGACCATGCAGGGCTGGCAGATATGCCACAGTGCCCCAGGAAGCTTGCCTTTCCTAGAGCAGAAGCTGGAGGCTGGGCTGGATGTTGTAGGGCACTCCAAACAACCCTAAATGCTTATGTTTAGGCACCCAAATCCTACTCCTTTTGTCTTCACTTCACTGACCTTTTAAAACGGATTTCTGTCATAATTTCAGGCTTGTCACCAAATACTGGAAAGTTATTCTCTTAATTGGAAACTTAGTTTTTCATTTTATCACATGGAAAATGGACCCCCCCCACACCCCCAAGGTCAGGAGTAGGAAGCGGCGCTAATATTATTTCCTTTGGCTTGTCAGGGAAGTGCCAGCATGGCAGGTATCAGCCTATTTCAATTGGTGATCTTCTTCAGAAAATGGAGTTGGAAGAAGCACAGTTAAGTATCACAGTCACAATAAAATTATGAGAACTGACAACACTGGATATACCGTTCTCCCAATTCTCTTAAATAGCTGTAACTCTTAATACAAAAGCCTGTTAAGGAAAATCTGTCCTGGCTATATTTGCAGCATGGACCTCATATTACAACTCCATTTTCAGTTGTTTCTCAGGAGCACTGCAAAGCGTGTCCTGTGTCAACACACCACATGAGCACATCCTTCATGGAAAGCTAAATATTTTGGGTAATGTACAAGGAATATGAACTTTGAGGTTAGTTTATTTTTCAGACTACTAAACATTGTGTGTGTGTGTGTGTCTGTGTGTAGCTATATTTGGGTCTTTCTGTAACAAATAATAAAGTTGAAGAGGATCTTGGAAAGAATCTGTGTTGAGTATGCATGAAGTACTCCAGGCCAGAGCAGGACATTCTTGTATGACTACTCTAAAGAATAAGGGCTGCAGAATTTTAAGCCAATAGGATTAATTGTTGTCTCAGTAAGGTTAAAGCAGTTAACAAAACCCAAAACCACACCAAAGTAGTACTTGTGTTCTTTGTAAAAAAACAAAATCCAAATTTTAGTTAATCTGGTGTTTTTGGGTCTTCCTGGTTGCCAACACCCCATGGCTCCCCAACATCTCTGATTATTTTATTGTTCCCTAATGCATACAAGTTGTAAAGTCAATGTTAATTCTCTTAACAATCACTGTTTCCAAATGGCAATTGTTCTTTGACATGTTCTGTTTTAAATAAGGGATGAAGAGCAGTAATGAAGCTGAAGGCCCACTATAAAAATACAGCAGCATTCCACAGTCCTGACTGCGCACGCGTAGTAAGGCATTTCGCTGTCCTTTTGTGGACTATTGCCGTAACACGCTGAAGGTGTTAGGGGCTGTGTTGTATGTAAATCAAACTCTAGAGATTTCAGATCTGACAGTCCTCTAATTGAACGCAGTGTCTTTATGCAAGACACTCTAAGTAACGCTTGCGTTACCCAACAGTTACCATTCCTTCACTGTTCCCAGCAGTAATAAAAACTGACGCAATACATAAAGTAGCCTTAGAAAAGGTAAATATATTTAATAGTGCATAGACAAATTAACTGTTTGATGATGTTGTACAAGGCATATCTTGTAAAGAAACCCTGAGCGAAAAAGAGGATGTAATTTTTATTTTACACTTATTGCAACATTATTTCTGGTATTTGTTTGCTATATTGACTAATAAAGGAGTATGTTAAAAACAGATCTTAAAACAGAATAAAACTGGGTATTCTTTCCAGTTGCAACTTGTTAAAAGTCTAGAGAAAGGAGTTCTGCCCATCAGCTTCAGCAAGAGACGTTTAACATGGTGGAGAACAAGCTGAGCCTGAGTTACCCAGGACAACTAATTCCTTTAGCAGAAAGAGTGTCTTCTATCCTCAGAAAACTCCATCTGGAAGAGTGTTGGCTCTCTGCCAAGAACAACCCTTTTAACAACTGCTTGTCATGCGCTTTAAGTAATAACGTTCATAACGGCACAACCTGGAGTGTTGGTAAAGGTCCTATTGGAGGGGCAACATATTCCTCCTCCCTCAGTAACCGCAAAAGGATGTTCTTCTTATTCTTTGGCCAGTTATAAATGTGCGTGTTCTGCAGCCAGGTAGGCACGTGTTCCTGAAAAATGAGGAAAAAAAAATTGAAATCCCGTAAATCCCACTGAATCTATACCAGAACCTTGCAGATTCCATTAAACTCTGCCAAGCAAGCATTCATTTTGTCTGTTCTAGACATTTTCTGTAACAACAACAAGAAATTTTGATTTGGCTTCAAAATCGTATTTGGGTTCCTAAAGAAATGAACTTAGTGTGATCTCACAGCTTGTCTGTCTCTCTTTCTCTTGCTGCCATCATGTTGGCTAATTTCAACTATGTTTTAAAGGGATTTGGATCTCAAACACAGTCATCTAAAGGCTTGTGAAAACAAATACTGAAGAGAGAAGGGAGACGCTTCAGTGCCCCTACCTGGGAAAGGCTGCGACCTGTGTCTCCCCCTTATTAGCTGCCGAAGGCGCCTTACACACGTTCAGCTTTGAGACAAGACTCTATAGGGACGGAGCAGGACCATGGGGAAGCATTTCTCCTCCCAGGAGCCTGTGTCTCCTCTCCCTCACGCCTTCACCGAGTGTGGTGGCTGCTGGGCACCTCCTGAGCAGGAGGCTGAGGCTCGTACTGAGCTCGAGGTGAAGCTGATGCATCTCCAGATTGATGGGGTCAAACACCCACTACTCCTCACATCCTGGAGAAGATGCAGCCATTCCAAGGGTCTTGCTGATGCCCCTCAACATAACAAATCTGGGACCGTCATGGCACAGGACGGTGAGGGAGAGGAGTAAGTTGAAGCAGAGAAGCCTGCTCAGCTCCCATGTTCCCACAGCCTGGGGAAGTCTCCTTACTGATAGCTGAGGTTTGTAGGGGAGAAGGGCTATATTCATACTACTAATAAAACAGGGTCAGAGACAGAGCCCTAGCCAAAACCAGCTGGTTCATGTCCACCATGGAGACAGAGATTTCTTGTGGGGAGCTCTTGTTGGAGAAGGCAGACAAAGCCAGAAGTGAGCTATCAGGTAAGCAGTGTGAGCAACCAAGATGTCCAGCACTTGCTCCCTGGCCCTTTTCTTTAGCAGGGCAACATTCCCGAAAGGTGACTCCTCTTAGGAGTGGCGCAATCCCTCTCGAGCCAGTGGAGCTAGCTGGGGGAGGACAGAGCAGACAGCAGCTGGCATAACACCATGGCTCTGGCACCCTGCCGGGGGATGCCCTGGCATGGGCAGCGTGTTTCCTACCTGCCAGCAGACAAACTAAGTGCAGTGCAAATCTTTCAATCCCAAGCCTTGTGCCTCTCCCATTGGCTCTCTTCTCAGGCGCCTGTACAGCTGTAGGATCCAGACTGCTCATTTCTGCTGCTCAGGGAGCGGGTTGCATTAACTGGTGTCACTATTTTGTTAGATTTACAGTACTTATGTCTAAGAAGGAAGAGGTGAGCAACCTGGGTATCCACAGACCCAGGAGTCTCACCTTCATAGCACATGAGGCTTTTGAACAAGCAGCTTGGTAAGTGGCAGAGCCATCTGAGCCTGGCTCTCCGAGCTTGGCTTCCAGGGGCCAAGAAGGCATGGGCTTCGGTGAAGGGTCTTCCCAAAGTGGAGGATTTAAAATGTTGCTCCTGCAGCATTTCCTTTGCTAGGAGCATGAATAAGATTTCTTGCCTCCGCCTGCATGTCTGTTTTCACTAAGCTCATAGGAATGGATTTTAATCTTTGTGAACTTTACTCCTTTGACAAAGTTGTTTGAAACTGGCCAACAGATTCAAAAGTTACTGGGAAAAAGAAAGAATCGTGTGTGTGTGTGTTTGTGTGTGTGTGTGTGTATTTATACATATATATATATATATATAATATATATATATATGTTTGCAGGCACATGCACATATTTGCAGTCATGCATACCGTTATTACATAAAAATAGTTTCTTTAATAAATCTTGTTAAGAGCCACAGAAGGAAACATGATAAAAATACAGCATGGGTTTATCAAAACAACCCTCTATCTGTCTTTGATAAGGAAATACATTTTTTGGAGAAAGGAAATGCAGTAGACCAGGTCTGTCTGGACTTCAGCAAAGCATCTGATACGGGTCCACATGGGAAATGATTAGGTAAGCTAGAAAAAATGGAAATTAGTGTGAGAAATGTGTAGTAGGTAGGAAACTGGCAAGCGGGTGTCTCCTGACAGCAGTACTACACACCCAAAAAGACATGTCTGGGGGTTTCTTCCAGAATTAGTCCTGGTTCCAATTTTATTTAGTGTTTTCCTTAACAAAGTTGGTGCAAAAAAGCACCTGCATGCTAATCAAGTTTGGTAATAATTTTAAATTGAGGAGGTGTGTAGGCACAGGGGATGACTATAGGTGCTATTTGGACCCCAATGGGGAGTGGAGAAAGTGAGAAGGAGACTGGGTAGACCTGTGGCCTTTTTCTCACAGTCTCACAGACTATGATGTGTCACACCAGCTGGGAGTAATGGGAAAGTAGTTCCAGCCCTTTTAATTCTTCTCAATTCAGATCCGTATCTGCAAGTAAGGAGGAAATTCAGAACACCATAAGGAAAGCATTTGATTACTTTCAAGATTGTAATAGGAATATGGCAGAGCGTGTTAGTGCAAAGGGCAGAGCCGTGTATTCAGGGCCCATGTTTGCAGCGCGTGGTTTGAGCTAGCCGGGCTGCCTTGGCACAGACCCCGCTCACGTCATCCCTCCTGCTGGCTCAGCTGCGCCGGAGGAAACCTCCAGCAGAGGAATGATAGCAAACATCTTGGGGCAATCACAGCTTAACAACGCTTCCCTCGTCGCGTGACCAGATCAGGAGGATACATTGCTGTTGACAGGCTTGATGCAAGCCTTGAACCAGTAAGACCTAGGTTTCCTTTATCAGCGTACAATTTGAGACTGGAAATGCCTGTTCCACTGTAACTGTGTGCCATGTTTTTTTCCCCTCATTATTCAATTTCCTAAAGAACACTCTTCGGATAATATAGATCCTTTTTCCCTGGAGGTCAACTTTCTTTCAAATACCACCAGTTCTTTAGCTTTCTTCAGATGAGATTAACTCATCTAATATCCATGTTCCCAAATGAAACCTTCCAAACCTTTCCCTGCATTTTTCTGGTGCAGCTGCAGTAGTACTTGAACACATACAGAAAAGGCCAGTGTGAAAAAGACAAAAAAATTGCCTATCTACATCATCCCATTTTACATACACATCATATTTTTGCATCCCTGGAATAGGTGTGAGTTTTACAGATACCGATACTTCATCTCCTCTGACTGCCTACAGACTTCATTACTGCAACTTGCCCAGGCCCCTCCGGGTCTGATGCTCTCCTTCCACCCATGATTTCCTCAGTTATATTATCATTAACCAGCCTGATGAAGGTTGATGATGTACTAAAGAAATGTGTGAAGAAAGAGAGCAAACCTTAACAGCAACAAAAAATGCTCATCTGCATAATTTAGATGAGAAAGGCACCTCTTGAAAAATTGAAGGGAGATCAGGACTACACAGCAATCAGCATGAAGGCTGCTTGGAGACGGATGCTTTGATAAGAGCAGCTGAATAAACCAACCCTGGAAATTCCTTATAGATCACTGTCTGCGAACTGCTGCTATATGCTAAATAGTCTGTTGATACACAAAGTTCAGCCAAACTTAACCCAAGTTTATTGTTCTTGTGTCTGCCACAAGGCCCAAAGGAGGCTAGAGTGACTGCTGCGCCATTTCTCTCTGCAACTCTGCATTGGTTTTAACGTTGTATGTGCCAAATGGCCTCAGGCTGTAAGGTTTGTTTGCACAGCAGGCACTCAAGGAGTCCCCAAAGTTAGGAGCAGTTCTGCCCCGTGCCCCTGATCAAGCTTAAAGACTAACGGAAAACACAGAACGGGTCACTGCCTTTGGTCTGCCCAGTTCCCACCAGTGTTGCCTCTGAGCTTTTAACACTTAATGTAAGTTACAGATCATCCTCCTTCATGCCAAGGTCATTCAGGAAGCTGAATGATATAAAATATAAGAGCTACCACCCATTCCAAAGACTCTTACATATTGTACAAACCCAGGGATATGTTTTCAAATTTCTGAACTGATATTAAATCAGTGCCTAAGTAAATAACTTCTTTGCACTAAAATCCACAAGTGCTGTGGGACTTCACAGCCCTACAAAACATTGACAGAGTTGTTTGAATGTTGACTTAGTTTCCAAAATCTGGGCACCCAAATAAATATACAGAATCTTTCCATCCTCTTCCAAAATGCAGCTGTACCTAGGTGTAACATGACAGCTACCAAACAGTGCACACAGCATTTAACGACAAAAAGTGAACATGAATACAATATATCCATTCTAAGTTTGGGAGAAGAATGTAATTACCCAACGAAAAATGAGGCCATTTGACTTTTCTGGCCTTGTAAAAATCCAAGAGATTCTCCCAGCGTGAGGAAGAAAGGTAAGGGATTCAATTGTATTACTTATTTTCAAATGAATTCGCAAAACCAATAAGGAGGGTAGATGAAATTGCAAGTCCTAAAAAAACCTTCTAGTTTGCCTTTGATGAGCCCATCAAAGTTCCAGCAACGGCACAGTACTTTAATATTTATTGTCCTCTTTATTTTTATATTCTCAACCCACCCCCTTCCAAATCCTCACTTCACATCAGTCATAAATCTCCCCCATCACACTCATCAGCACTACATCTGGACAAAATTATAAAGGGGTTAATACAAAAAGCATGCTTGCTGGATAGATTGTATCTCTCCATTTACATTCTTTCAGTGCTCAAGACAATTTGAGTTTTAGTTATACATTCACCATCAAAAATACATTTATGTACTGATATTTATATTGTGGATTTTTTTCTTCTTATTATTTGTACATAAAACTGTAAACTTGTCATGTAAAATGTAGCTTGGAATATTGCAAGTGGGCTATTAAGGGCTGAGAAATTGAGGTTTTGGTCTTTAAGATTTCGTCTGGTGCACTGTGATCAAAATGATATGTGCTTAATTACATAACAAATATATATATGTTTCTATGTTACCTTTTTAGCATTTGGAAAAAGCACAGGGATGAATCTGAAGTTCATACTTCCTTGTTGTATAAACTCAATCTGCATCTAGAATAGAACAAATTGCCATATTTATTGTGATTAATGTTATGTTAATTTTACTGTACGTGCATCTGAATCCTATGCATAAAAACATTCATTGCTTACTGAAACGGCTCTTCTGTTAAGTGATTTGATCTACTGCTGGTGGACTCTGGGTATCATTTTGTTTGGCCACTTATCTGATTCTTCTTTACTACAGAGAGGATACAGGAAAGATTTGTCAGCATTTCGTGAGTGTTTACAGTTCTTCAGTATGAAACTACTGTGCTTTTAGCTGCAGTTGCAGTCCCGTGAAATCCTTCTAGAGCCAATGAAGCCTGATGCAACTAAGGCGCCAATGGGGTGAAAAATTTCAGCTGGAGGCCAGCTCAGAGTCCAAGCCAGAACCCAACCTGTCCCCACATCCCAGAGACACAGGCTGTATGCTCCATGGGCTTTCATGAGGTAGTGCAGAGTGCAGTGAGCTGCTGAGAGCTCCTGTGCTGGTCACAGTTTCTCAGAAGTTTAACTATAGGATGAAACTGGGATCTGATGGCTTATGGGGTGAGAAATGGGGCAAACTGAGAACCGAGGGAGAAATGACAAGTTTCACAGCTCCGTGGGCTCTTCTGGGCTAAATGTCCACCCTGGGGCTGACTGCAGAGACGGGCCTCAGCGACTCTCCGGGCCCCTGCCACCTCATGTCCCCAGGAGTCTCCCCCTCCTCTGCAGCTCTCACCTTAACTTTGCAATTCCATGTTTCAGCCAGCTTTATTGTTGCCCCCCCCAAAAAAGACCTCAGTTACAGGATGGCTGAAGTGATGAGGACTGGTTTATAAGGAGTAAAGTCAGGCAGCGTTAGATAAGATTGTGCTAAGGGCTATACGACAGGGCAACAAGGGCTCAAGAAGGTGAAGGAGGGAAAAAACATAGAATCATAAAGAACATGAAGGAATAAGATGAGCATGTTTAATAGGATTTTTCTTTCTCGAACCTCTTAGCAGATGTTAATGAGCATACGGAGCCGATGAGAGGGAGGATTAATGAATTCCAAAGGGGGGGGGTGTTTAACTATGGGGATTAGTGAAAACAAAGCGCAGAACCTGCCATTTCGAGACAGATTTGTCTTTTGAGAAGAAGAGACCGACTCTTTGTAAAACAGCAAATGCATGTCCTTGCTTACCATCCTGTGGATGTATTTAGTATGTAAGCCATGTTCATCCCTGTCCAGCTGGGATTCAGCCCCTTCCACATCCTGTTTGTATTTTGGACTGATTGCTATGATTATCATCACCGTTTTCTGTTAGGGAGAAAAGCACTTTTATGAAATTGGGAAATGCAGTATGTTTGGTAGATGCAGATCGGAAATCTGCCAGTTTGTATTTTAAGTGATCTTTATGTTCTTGGCAAATGTGAGAGGATCTCATTCATTCTGGCAGGAAATACAGAAGAATTCGTACACTCACTCATTTTCCTCTTTATTTCTCGAGATCTCATAATATAGAATATCTAAATGTCAAGAGATATATTAACAGCTACCAGTTTGCAGTTGGAATCCCTCTAATAAAAAGCTACTTTTTATCACTGTAGAGTGCATATGTACGTACAGAGAAAACAGCTTCAAATTCAGATCGAAATGTTTTCCAACAGCTTACGTAAAAGTGCGTCTATTTAACCCTTCACGGTTTTTACACACAAAGACACGAAAGGCCGTTGTCTGTGGAAACTACATCCAGGGCTTTCAGCAACAGGAGCAGGAACGGTTATTGCTGATCTCCTTATGTGAGGAGACAGACAGCTGTGTAGAGCCCCGGGTCGTTAGGGACGGCCTGGGCCAGGTTACACGTAACCTGCCAGCTCTGTCCCCCCTTGCCTTGGCCGGGCTGAAGGCAGTGCTCCTTGCCTTGCCAGGACAGCCAGGATCCCGCCTGTGGTCTGTTTGATCCCAGGCCCTAGCTGATCTCAGGTTTCCACAGAGGGGCCATCCTTCTGGGAAAGGAGGGGGCCTCCTGTCTGGGAAATCTCTCTCCTCCTTAATGGTGGGCCGGTGAAGAGGCTCAGCAGATTAAAGGCTCCTATTTTCATTTACTTAGGGCCTGTCTTTTATCTCTGCCACATCAGGCTGTGTAAGACTTCCAAGTATGTGGCTTACAGTCAGCGTGGCACCTAATTAACTCTTTCCTTCTGTGCAATATCAAGGGAATTTGCCCCACCGCAGGGTCAAAAACTGTAAGGAACCATTATCCCTTGCACTGACTTAACATACTGCAGAATTACTTTTGCTTGTGCCTGACGTGCGTGTAAGCACTTACAGATGTTGAAAGTTTGCAGAGACATGCTCAGTTGCACATGTGCCCCTGCTTGTGTCCAAGCAGTCCCTCCTTGCTTGTGTGCGGAAAGTTAGAAACTGCCTCCACAGTCAATGGAGGAAGACAGGCAGGGACCAGGCAGAGACCAACTCATCAGTATTTTAGATAGTAACATAAGAAGCCACGGGTGAGAAGCAGGACAGACATTAACCACTACATGCAACTTGGGATGAAACAGATATCTGTTTTACCATGCACAGGTAAAAACACACGCTATTGAAAAATGATATGGAAGAACAACTTGTCCAATGGCAGCTTCAGGCTGAATGTAACAGCCACCATTGGAATTTGGCAGGAAGGCCCAGATTAGCACTTAATTTCCTGAAGAAAGATTTTTGGGATCGTACGAAGCAGAAGTGAGTGCGATTTGGTTATACCTTCTATCACAGGCCTCTACCATTTCAGCAGGGGCAGGGAAGGGCATACCTTGCATTTTAATTCTGCTCCCATTACTGTTGGAATACTTTAACAATTATTTTCTTCAAGTCACCTCTGTCAGGGAACAAAACTAAATTGTCTTTACATACATCACCTAGGTAGCGTTCCATCCACTTAATGATGTCAATGCCTCGTACCGTGTCCTCAAATATATCAATCTGCAAGAGAATGAAAGTCTGTGGTTAGTGTCCTTTTGCCTTTTCTTCCCAGTTGGTGGCTCTGAAAAGGAGCCTAGATGCCAGCACTTTTCCCTAGTTTCTGACATTCATGCCTACCTCCCTTAGAAAAGAAACATCATGCGCATACATACACATGTGTACATGCATGCACAATTCTCCCCATTTCTCTGCACTCCAGAATTAAGCGAGATGGGCACCACCACAAAGCCAGAGGCAGTCTGCTACACAAGGACCTCGAGGCTCCTGTGTAGCTGGCTGTTCTTGCTGTCCTGCCCTGACAGCTCTGAACCCCCCAGGCGTTTTTGCTGGTTGAAACAAGAGACAATTGCTGCTGGTGAACATTAGATATTCAACATTTGCAAACTGGCTTTTTTGCTTCCATTAATATCTCATGAAGGTGGACAGCTGCCCACCTCCTCTATTTGTATAGCTGACCCTGAACGGTTGCATCAGAAAATTTTCTGGCTGCAAGAGTATACACTGCGTGTCAAAATTTAGCTTCATCTTGCAGTAACTTTTCAGGGTGTGTGGTAGCAAGTCTGCCAGGTCACTGATCCTGGAAGCAGCAAAGCTGCCTTCAGTGAGAGGAGAGCGGTGGAGGACTTCACAGCACTGAATATGACCAACACCACTCAGTTCCCTGCACCGTCTCTAAGCCAAGAAACTGGCAGTCAGTGACCACGGCCAGTGGAGTAAGTTTTAACTTCTCCAAGCTTTTGAGAGAAGAGTCATGTTCCTATCTCAAGTCTTTCTTTTCACCCTTTTTAAAAAGAGAGAGTATTTTTGTTTCCCTGCTTTGGGGTCATTTTTCTTTATTTATTATTCTGTACCATTCTCTAAGAGTTGCCTGTCCAGCAAAGATGCGATTAATGAGCCTTCTAGTAATCGTCTACTCTATACCTCTTTGATGTTCATAGCTTTCTTATGAATTGGTCCTATGTAGGACAGAACTACTAGAGAGAAGCATAATTTCAGGCTCTGGAAAAAGTCTTTGATTCAGGAAAATAAATAAGCATGTGTTAAACTCCCACTGAGTCTCATTCGGTTTAATGATAGCCACTTGCTTAAATGCTTTCCTGAACTGAAGCCAAAGAATGAAGGTTGAGGGGTCAGAGAGCATATGCATTTGAAATAGGAAAATATGAATCAAGATTTTGATGAACACTGAATCCCAGAGCCTCTGTGGATGGTTCCCTTAGAGAGGGCGGTTGTGATGAAGCAAACTCACGAGAAGCTAAATGAAACTCTGGACAGCTTATGGGATTAGACAGTAGGACATAAACCTTTTCAGGACAGCGATTTTTGAATCCTTTTTAAAAACATAATAAACCAAATGAAACGATGAGATAGGCTGTTTCATTAAGCTGTGTGAAATACATTGGTTTTAGATCAGTCTTTAGTAGAAAGGTATTCATATCCAAAGAACGAGCAACGTAACAGCATCTCTCAGAAAAGAAGCTGGCATGGGATGAACATGAAAACTGACCTTTTTTAATATTGCAGATCAAATATGAGGCAACATTAACAGAATAGCTCATGAAAACTCATACTATTGCCCATCTGGTACCTGGTGTCACTAAACAGAATTTTCCAGGGTCATTATTGAAACTCATTTCCAAGTATAAAATTCACTTAAAAATATGAGCAAACGAAAAGGCAAATCATTTAAGTTACAACTTTTAAATCCAAAGCCCAGTTCACTCAGTTTGTATCTTCTTTAATCTACAATGCAGTGACACACAGAAAAACATTTAATAGACTGTGCGCCCTACGCTTTTTTTAAAAAAAAGTCTCTTTTCTCCCCTGCTTGAAAATCATTTTCTCCAGAAGGAATACTTACAGCAGTTTGAAATCCATTCACAAGCAGGAAGTTCACAAATTTCATGACCTCCACGGCTGTGTCCACAGAATAGGTTATAAAGACCTTGCCTAGGCGAGAGACTCCACATGAATATGTGATACATTAAAATGAGCAATGTAAAGAGCAAGACTTCCTTAACTCTCCTTTTGCACTGTGCAGTGGGTCCTGCCTCTGTCTTTCTCGCGTATTTACAAAATGAACACGGGGTAGCGCAGTGGCGTGGGGGAAACTCAACCCCCTGTCCAGCAATTTCAATCTAGATTTTAGCTCCTACGGCTTTGCTGCCGGCAAACCCACCTGCAGAAGTTGAAGAGGGCAACACTGCTCAGCTGCTCGCCCTGTTCCACTGCCGGAGCTTATTTTTCCCTAGCCTGACGGCATAGGCAAGGCTGGGCTCTTGCCCGACGCTGGCAGCACATGCACCAGCTGAAACCAGCATGGTGTCCCCCTAAGCCTCATTTCCCAGGCTGAGAGCCGTGTCGGCCAAAGAGCCCTTACCCATCCTGTACTGCCTCCCTGGTACACCGGCAGCAGCAACTACCTGCGAGGGGCAGGACAGGGAGCTGAGGACAACAGCGTCTTCGACTGCCCCCACCATCGTGGAAGGAGTTTTCGTACTTATTAAAGAATCATAGATTCATAGGTCAGAAGAAGCCAGATGGTTAATCTAATCCAGCTGGCTGCATATCACAAATCACACAAATTTATGCAGTAATTCCTGCATCTAGTCCACGCAAACTGATAAAGTAGGGCATATCCAAGAGTGCTATCAGGCGTCGCAACTTACTCTTTAGGACAGAAAGCTGCAGTGGGACTTTGAAAGGTGATACGCAAAATGAAGAATAAAGGACAAACTAAAATCCGAGGAGAGATGTGGAGGGATCTCAGCAACAATATATATCACTCGCTAGCCAGCACAGCGTTTAAAAGGAAGCCAGCTTTTCTGAAACCTAACTTTCCCATAAGAGTTGAAGGGTGAGACTGCTTCAGAAAGGCTGATGCTCCTTGCAGGAACAGCCTTTCACTGCAGCTGATGCCAAGGGCCCCGGTGGCAGGGAGAGCGTTTCTGCCAGCGCCTGTGCCGCCCTCGGTGCACATCGTGGGCTCCCTGCTGAAAGCCCTCTCCTCTGACCAGTTCAGCAAGAAAGCAAGGTCAAGACTTGACATTTTTGTCTGGTTTGGGACAGGCAGAAATACTTTATCCTGAGGGTTTTGTTTGTTATTAGTCTTTTACTGTAAGCTTCAGTGCCTCCTGCCTCAAAGGGACATACTGTTTAGCAAGGAGTCATGAAAACAATCTTAGCAGTATTTATTTTTTGTAAACAAAATAACAGGCAATTAATGACAATTATCTTTTCAGGATTCAAGGGAATAATTCTGTTCTGCCAAACATGAACACCCACACCCTACAGATGTGATGACACTTCATATTTTCTTTTCTTGTTGACTTTGTGTCTTGATGCTGTCCCCCACCACCCCGAGCTTTCCCACCTAAAGCTGTCAGGCTGCTCTGTAAGATCTTGCACAGAACAAATTTGCTAACCACTTACGCAATTCCTCGGGCAAATTGCTCATTTTCAGAGTTCCCTTGGCTGCAGGGTTACTGGGAGGTCTTGGGACAGCAGCTGGAAATGGAAAATTGTCAGATGGACAACAGCATACTTCATCCGGTCCACAGGCATTGAGGGGTAGCTGACCATTAGGTAGCTGGTTGTATAACTGGTTTCTAGAACAAAAAGCAAGTGAGGATTTTAAACACATTTGTTTTCAGGTAAAATTCTTTTTTTTTTTTTTTAAAAAAAGCACATTAAGAACTTTATCTGTATAGGAGCTAAGAAAAGTTTTTGAAAAAATGCTTGGCTCAGCATTCATTTTTAGCTATTACAGCATTTTTTGAACTGAGCCCTCTCGCTACCTGGGTGATAGTCTACCACAAGACACAATTTATTGCAGAAGCAACATTAGCCACAGGAAGTAAATGCATCTCAGAGCTGAAAGCTGCTCAGTTTGCGATTAGCAGAAGTGAAGAACATTTCTGAGTGAGAAATAATGCTGTGCCTTGGATGTGGTTACGCACGTACTTGACCAGAGTGGCATGTGGGTAATCTGTTCCCACCATCCAAAGGGTGCTTCGTGGCAACTCAGACATTCAAGGCATGACAATCCTCAAGATGCCGTACAGGAGATGTGGTTCAAGGAGGGAAGCCACCTTCTAGAGAAAAATGGGATATGGGGACTCCGACTACCACTACACGCTCTGGCACGACTTGAAGTGTCTCTGGTTTTGGACAAAATTGCAAGTTTTGCTAAAGGGAAACATTTTAATTTCTTGACCAGCAATAAGAGACCCAGTGGGGTTTTCTCATATTAGGGACCTATGCTCTAGACCTGCAGTAACCTTGCATAATGCCTACCTTTAAAACAAATGGAGAGAAAAGGATGATTTTAGGAAGCTTAGCAGTTCGGTTCTTAGCGTACTTCAGGTTCACAGTCTGAGCCAATAAGAAGGGCAATTTTCAATGAGGTGTGATCTGAATCTGTTGGGCTGAATCGCTGGAGGAGTGTTAGGTTTCTCTGAGAGCTTTTCCCCACAGAGCAGTGATATTTAGTCAATCAAGCCCACTCCTTTCTTTTCCTTTGCCTTTCTTAAATGAATGATGACAGTCTGGTCACAGCATGTTTTCTGTTGTCACATTAAGATTCGGTTTATTCATTTTGGTACAGATGTTTTCTGTTACAAAATACTCTATAGGCAAATATTACCAACATATAACTGCTGTTCCTGGAATCAGCACGCAAACACCAGTAACTCAGACACAGGACAGATCCTGGATATTATGAATGTCTTTTAGAAGAGAAAAGTACCAAGAAAAGCAACACACATCTCATCAAAGGCCACAAAATTACCCTGTGGTTAATTTACAGGTCTTTCCAAAACTTCACCTTATACAACAAACATGTCCAAAATTAAGAGTCCATTTTTAAATTTTACCCATATATCCTTGGATACCAGGATATATCAGTGTTTCTACGCTTGCAAACAAACGCTTTAATGCAACTATCTCTACTGCAGCGACTGCCTTATCTTAATGTTATTTTTTTGTTACAGCCCATAAGTTTTCGTGGGCCAGAGGAGTGCAATCTTTCGGTCAGCTGCCCCATTTTGTTGCTAGTTCTGCCTGCTGTCTCAGTTTTCTGCCAGGGCTGTATCACTTAAAAGAATGTTTTTCAAACACAGATGCCTGTAAGTTTAGCACCTTTACAAGTATTTTGGCACTTAAATAAAAATGGTCACCTTTTCAGATGTGCTAAATACCTGCAGCTTCAATTTGACTTCAGGCAACTGAGTCTGGAGAAAACCCTGCACGGATAATGATGTCTCCCATTTCTTAATGACATGTTTTTAACGGAAGGAAGGTACGAGGCCTGGTAAATTAATATTTGAAAAACAGGCAAAAAGCTCCAGATGAGAGGTGCTAGATGTGAGGTGTCCTATTCCTACATGAGCGATCCTAGAAAACGCTGCAAACTGCAATGTAGAGAGATATTAGTGACAGGCAAGATTTTCTCCATTTTCCTCTGTGCTACAGAAGAGATAAAGTGGAAGTCACTGAACGCCAAAGACTGAGGCGTCCGAGGTGGGTGTACCGCAGCGGGGGGCAGACCGCAGCGAACCACTAAACTGACCTTTGCTCTCAAACAGGACAGCTCTAAGGTTTCAGCTGAGATATTTTCAACCCCTCATCTCTTTAACCTTCAAGTGTTTATCTTTCTTAATGTGTGCATTTCAGGGCACGCTGCAACAACATATCAGGTAACTGGCTTTGAAGTTCTTCAGGGTAAGGTCAGGCCCCTGCTGCATGTAAAATAGCAAATAAATAAAACTACCCAGTACTTCGCATAACCCCCTGCAAGCCAAGTATACTAACGTTACAAAGTTTCAGAATTATTGGTTAAAAGCCCACAAAATATTATTATAGGAGCTTCCACTGCGCACAACTCACTTGAAGCATACTTACGGGAATCGCGGATGAGCCGGGGAGGAACACGGCCGCTGGGGCTGTCTGTCTCCGGTGCCTTTAGGGGCACGAAGGTTAGAGTAATTCGGGATAACTTGCTGGGCTGGACGGATAACTCTCATGCAAGGTCCAGGAACAGGAGGAAGCGGCTGAGATGTATGTGCAAAATGTTGGTAAGGACTTCTGCCATCTGGGAGGGTGAGAAAATAAGAGCAGCAACTATCATTTCAACCAATATATTTTTGCTTCAGTTTAGGTTTATCAGCTTCCAGACAGATCCTCCTTTATTTCTGGGGAAACTGCAGCAGTTTTGAGGCACTTGCAGGGTGCTTAGTCTGAAAGAAGCAAGATTAAGGAAAGTTTTTACAGTTTCAAGTTTCCTATTTCCCTTTCACATATGATATGGTTCAGCTTCCCGCTGTGGGTTGGACTGTTGGGACAACTGACAGTTAAATATTGAGGGCTGCTTTGTCCCTGCACTTAATATGCCTCGGTATTTTTTAAAAATTTCTTTTTGGCAATAACTTGAGAAAAATGAATCATCCTAACATTCTCATGAAAGCACATGAAAAAACCCTGGAATGAATCAGTTTGCAACACTAGGGCTAAACAGACTGAGTTTATTGTAAATGAAAAGAGAAAAAATAATCACTTGGTTTGTTACTTCACTCTGTATGAATTTTCTGCCTAGCTGACCTTTTAAGGCCTTGCTGCTGGTCTTGTTGCCATCCAGGAGGCTACAAGGGAAGCCTGAAGTGAGAATTTTGCTTTAGCAGTTCTGAAAAGTCTTACTGTCACCAACGGTGTACATCATAATGCTGTTTAATAACTAATGTACGGTGGAAGTGTTGGCAGAGGCTGAAAGAGAAGGCAATCATCTAAGCTGCTGGTTTCCCAAACAGGGACAACTATTTTTTCAGTCTTTCTGCTTGCAGTTTTCATTAGGCAGCAGCTCTGCTCACTTGCAAGCTGTTGTGCAGAGATCAAAGTCCAGACTGGCAGGGCTTACTAGCTCGAGTGCTGCCTGATTATGGTGTTATGAGCTGGCTCTGAAAGCTGTAGTACTCAAACACACTTTTTTTCCTAGATGTTTTTTAAAATCTTTTTAGCTACTTTGGGGTCATGCTTTCCTTTTCCTAGCAGCCACGAGGGCTAAATTTTTTTAAAAAGAAATAAAAAGAAAAGAAAAGCTTTAGTGAAATCATCCAACTCCAGGAGACAGTGCTTTAAAACCAGCGCCCCCCCCCAACCCCACAGTTACAGAGAGATTCCTGAGGAAATCGTGAGAGTTGGCAACATCCCATTTGTTGAGATTGTTGTAGGAAATTTTTTTTCCTCCCTCTCGGCTATTTCTAACAGGACATGTTGAAAGAGGCTGGCAGGACAAAGAATGAACATAAATATGGTTAGCGATGGTGTTCCTCATGACCAGCTCTAGGAAAACTGGCAGGGCTCTGGGAAGATTCAGTTTGGTTGAAGGCTTTTTAGGCTGGTGTGAGTTTCACCTGCTTCTTTGGGATCTATCTGATGCTATAGTATATTAATAGATGTAACCACCGCTGGTCCAGGCACAGCATGGTCAGGTATGCATGGTCTCAGGCATGAACAGCTCTCACATATAAATGTCTGGAACAATGGTCCCCGGGCACATAGTGTGGCTGAGAGGATCGCTCGGATTTCAGATGTTGCTTACTCTGGTATCACAAGTAGCAGGTGTCCAGAGACAGGTCAGAGCCTACGGGCACAATCCGCACTGCTGCTATTGCCCGCGAGAGGCATGTTACAACGCACTCAGTGTCTAGCTTTGTTGTTGGTTGCGACTGTCCAATAATCCTTTGAAATGCAAGGAGCTGCCAGGAGGTGATTTATGCTGTGCCTGGCATGTGAGAAACAGGAGTGTAGCTGCCAGCTTCTTGGTCCTGACCAAATCTGCTCCAGCCATCTGAGTTTGTTTTATTCTTTTTGCCCTCTGGATATGGTTGAAACACTAGTGATTTTTTTCTAAAGAGAGCCTTTCAGAGTTCCTGCTTTAAAACCAAATGCTCTCATTCACTCAGCGTCCTGTTTCTCACGATGCCTGCATGTGGACGAGGTAAATAGTGAGGGGTATTGTGCGACCAGCTCTTCTCCAGCTTACAGCTAAACCCAAACTGAAACGAGAAGCTATGAACAGAAGAACAGAGGACGCTCTGTGAGTGTTCAGCTGTCCCGGTTGATGGAGGTGCATCTGTAGCCCCTTCCCCAATACAAAGTCCCAAGATCAAAGGCGACAACTGAGGCTCTTGCTACGCTGTGTTGTACCTAATTATAGCACATTACTGGAATGATAAAACTCTTTAAACAGATGTAATATAAATGTTGTGGAGTCAACAGAAGGTTAAAAAAAAAAAAAAAGGCTATTAGAACAGGCCTGCAGCTTTTTATTACAAAGTGAGCCCAAAACTGGTTGGGGCCTCCTGAGTCTAACGTAATATGAATTATATTAAAACAATGATATTGCTGTTGAATGTTCAAAGCTCGCTTCATAACAGATAAAAATCTCAGCGACTGAAAAGGAATACTAATTAATAGCAGCCTGTAAACTGATTCGTAGTCTCCAAGAGCCAAAACACCCATATTGACTAAGTCACGTCAGCGTTCAGTGATACAATCACCAGCAGCCAGCAGCTGAGAGGTGTCCATTTTAAGTAATGAGCTTTCATTTCAGCTAACAAGAGAAAAAATGTGGATGATGGATGTCATGCTCTTTTTTTAATGTAGAAATAAAATACACGGATTAGTTTGGTCATAATGCTGGTAGATACTATTTAAAGGGATCAAAGGTAGACACCCATCCTGGTTTTGGCAGAAAATGCTCAACTTTCTTTGAGGATCCAAGTGTGAGCAAGAAAATCTATGAAAACAACAGGAATTAAGTCAGTATAGGAGGCTGCTGAATGACTGATGGAAGGAGGAAGGAAATGACTAGAATATGAAATAACAGCAGGCAGAAGGCTGTATATGCACAGTGTGTGACCGACAAAAGACTGTTTCTAGGCAAAAGCATTAGCCTTCATCTGATGAGTAACTGTGAGCTCTTTAACTTTTTATCCAGCTCAGAGGTTCTGCATCAGCAAGTGCAGTGGCATAACCCCTAAATCTGGAAATATAAAACCGGATCGCAAATACATATTTAAAAATGCTAATAACTGCATGCTGTGAAGGAAGTACAACAGGAAAATGCCAGCTTGGTGAATGATGGCTGTGACAACCCAGGAAAACCTCACGTCGGGGGTGAGCTGTGTCACTTACATGGGTGCTGCGGGTGTTGCTCTGCTGGGCAGTGGTGCCTGAAGCAGCCGTGAGCTTGCGATGAAATGTTGGGATGGGGCAAGTGCTGGCACAGAGGATACTGGTGATGCTCGGGTCCAAAAAACTCTCTGGAGATCAGGGGTCCTGGGAGGTCCTGGGGGTTCAGCACAGACACCAGTGGTAAGGGGGGCTCTAAGTGCCTGATGCCCATGACATCTCGTGACTGGGAATTGTATCCCGTATCCACAGTCACCAGCTCTGCTGGTGCTCTGTTTTCTGAGGGTTGCTGTGGCTGTAAACTCCTTTGGCTGCTGTCCTCAAGCGAATCCTCAGGAACATCAGACAAACTCTTCCTCGATTTACTGGAATTGTGCTCCGTATCAGCTGAAAGCTGAGCTCTCAAATGCCCACCTGATTTTTCCATCGCTAAAAGACGTGCCTTGGAGGGAACTATTCCAGCCATTGATTCACCAGGGGAACAGAAGTGCCCATCTTCATCGGGATCTGTATATTTTGACCATAAACTGCTGTCCAACTCCATGGCTGCTACATCGGATGGTGCAGGCTGGTGACGTGGTGGTGCTCTGTAGAGGCATGATGGTCCAGCAGTGGGCTGAGGTGTTTGAGCAGCTTCAGGTCCCCGGGGCCCCTCATTCTCCAGATGCTCACCAGAAGATTGTGAAGCCTCTTCCAAGGCACGTTCGACAAATGGGGACCACATCACAGATTCATCCACTTCAACTGGTACGCTTCGACTCACAAAAGCGCCTGAAAAAGCAGGAGAAGGAACAATGCAGACTGACAGCCATGCAGACAAATGCATATCGCTCAATGACTGTAAGCCAGAATACTTAAGAGCAGAGTATCAAAAAGCATTTATATTCTTTAAAAAGAAAGGCAGAAAACAGCAAGACACATCTGGTTGAATTTTGATGAAACAAGAAAGTAGACGGTTAGCTGGAGTGTGGCTAGCACAGAGTTACTGCTTGGACTCACCTGAGATGGAGGCCATTTCCAAGTTTTGCAGTCCCACTGGAAACGAGAGTCAACTGTCTTACTGCAAGGCCAGAATTTTCCAGCAAACTGGAAAACAAGAGAAAGTGCTCTTGTGAGCATAGTACAGTTTCACACGGTCAATAATCCAAAAATAACTCTATCTCAGAGACTGAAAAAGAACACTGGTTAGAGTTCTGGAAATCACATTTCGCAGAACAGACACTTTTATAGGATTTCTGGTCTGCTGAGACTGGAAAGAAAAGAATTGCATGAACTATCTCTCTTAGGTAATTTTCTCCACCTGACAAAAGAGCAGGCTATTTAGGTCTGGAAATTTGGTTCAGAGATACTCCAGAGAATACAGTCACTTACAATATTTTACTCCAGACCTTCTAATAATAGCTATGTATTAGCTCTTCAGATCTAAACTTTACCCCACACCTAGCTGAGTAATTTTAATGCCAGACACTGCTAGTTTCCAACACTGTTGCTTATTTTAGCGAACCGGTTCATCCATCCTTTTATTATGTGGTTGTTGTTATTTCAAATTGTTGCAAATTAAAAGACAATTTAGAGACTTGAGCTATTGTTTCGATTTTTCCCTGTTTTCAGAATTGGCTTGGGCTCCAAATAGCAAAATCATCACTTCCTTTTGGGGCGCCTTTCAGTAAATTTGGACCAGCCAAATGATTCTTGATGGATGATGCCTCCACACCACCTTCATTCAGAATTATAGAAGCAATTACATGTGAATTATATGCTGCTGTTGTAGCATTTTGGGGGATGGGAAGTGAAAACCTTGTTACAGGGTTACACAGAGTATTCTGTTTATCCTGCACCCAAAGACAGAATCACAGAATCACAGAATCACAGAATCACAGGATCGTTCAGGTTGGAAGGGACCTCTGGAGATCATCTAGTCCAACCCCCCTGCTCAAGCAGGGACCTCTAGAGCATATTGGCCAGGATCACATCCAGGCGGGTTTTGAATACCTCCAGGGAAGGAGACTCCACTACCTCTCTGGGCAACCTGTTCCAATGCTCAGTCACCCTCACGGTGAAGAAGTTTTTTCTCAGGTTCAGGTGGAACTTCCTGTGGTTCAGAACTTCCTGTGGTTTTGTTCCTCTGGGAACAAAAAAATTCTCATTTCTCTTTGGTATGACCTCTCCTGCTGGGCCTGCTGGATTGCAAGCAAGCAGCTGAGCTCAGGTGGGAACTGGGAGCAGGTTGGTCCTGAGCTGAAGCTCGTTTGCCCTGAGCCCCGAGGCCAAGCTCATGAGTTGGGTATGGGGCGGTGATACACTGATGAGGCTGTGCCACTCCGGGTACCCGAGCCCATGTTTTCCTCAGGTTGTGGCACAGAAAAGTATCAGCACATTTGATGTTAGCTTGCTGATCTCTGCACCTTGCTCTGTCCTGTGGTACAGGGTACAGATTAGCTTGCTCCAAGCAGATTTGATCTCTTGCCTTGCACGATGGAGAAAGAAATCTCGTGCTCATCTTTTCCCCAGCTATTTTCCTTCTATCAGATTGGAGAAGTCAAAATTCCAGGTAGGAGAGTCATCTGAAAAGAAGGGATTAAGTACTCAAGCAATGTGAATGGCAACATTTGACAACAGAAATGGAATTAAAAGCCTGATGAAGAAAGGCAAATTCACAAGAAGTTTGAGGAGCTTTTAGCAATCCAAGGATTTCTCCCAGCTTTAGACACAGTACCTTGAACAGAAAGTCCAAACGAAGAGCATGTTCAAACGACCACCGTATTTAAAACACTTCAGTGAGATCACAGAGAGCTATAAGTAGCATCCCAATCCTTACCGTGGCTCCCACAGCTCTTCTGTAGAAACAAAGAATGTGCCTCACTTCCTTCAAAGGAGGAAAGGAACGCTCCTTCCAGTTAATCTTGGGGCAGGCTGGACAGAGCACTTGTTATTTCCAGTTCAGCTGGTTTTCCATGGTGCTACAAGCATTACTGTTTTGTAGCAGAGAAGAAGAAAATAATCCAGTGCAAGAATCTGGTCCAGCCCTGCACAGATCCAGTTCGACTCCCTCAAGGGATGGCTGCAAAGGGACATACATGGTACAAGGGCTCTGCTTTCCAAAGGGCCTTTCCAAAGGGCTCATCCTATCCCGAGCCATAACTGTTTGAGAGTATGGAGGTTCCTCAGGTCTTAGTAGTCTAAGGTGATAAAGTCACCAAAATCCGCTCAAAGAAGCCTCCCGGACAAAGAGTGAAGGCCCTCTTTTCAGGAGCTCTGCAGTCAGTTTTCAAAGCTTATTACAGTCAACTCTCACCCGTCTGTTGGCAGTTTCTCCCAGGAGTCAAACGTGGGTACGGTGGATACACATGCAGCGTGGAGGCCTCCTGCAGCACTACCTCCATCGTCCCTGTGCTGCTCTCCTCGAGCCCGACACCTAGGGACCTCAGCGCAGGATGCGCAACAGAGAGGCCCCATAAGGGCTCAGCAGGGCCCACCATGCTAAATCCATGCTAAAAAGCAACTCGGACATTTCTCCTGCGTGGCTCCCAAGCACTTCCCATATTAAACATACATATTTTATCTGGGCTTTCCTGTTATCCAGGCTATGCCCATCCCAGGTGGCATTCACATGCTATATGGCAGAAATGAGGCTTTACAGTTGTGCTGATCAGTCAAAACGACATATATGCCCCACTGAAAATACTTCTGGCATAGAAAATTCTGGGTATACCATTTACTGGGAAGTAGAATAAAAATTGTGTTTTGCTGCTGCTGCTGGGCTGCAATGTAAATATTCCTCCTCTGTGTAATTTAAAACCCATCTATGCAGAAGATTTACCATTTGTTCAAAATGCATATCCCATGTTATAACAAGCACACAAAGAGTTATCCTGGGATAATTACAGTAGTACGAATATGCAGGTAAATTTTCCCATGCAGCCATTAGTTGCACCAACGTAGCGACCACGCTGCAGCTCTGACAGCTACACCCCCGTGAGCACGAATACAGGCTGTCGTGCCAAACCGGCTCCTTTCATTACAAGCATTACAACGCTGGAAATCCTGACAGTCAGCTCATCACCATCATGCCTTCTTCTCGGTGGTCTGTAGCCCTTTTCCTTTAAGCCACAGCTCTATGACTGGCCCTGCTAGCTGAGTCACTGCTCTGTGACAGGAATAACTGATGTTAGTCCTGACAGGAAAGGGAAAACTTTGAGCGCTCATAATCAACAGAGGGTTATGACGGGGACTCATGCAGCACTGTTCTTTTGCAGCAGTGGCAAAATGTTATTTACCTGGGAACTTTGCTCAGATGACTACTGTAGCGCGGTCAGATGATTCACCTGGACAATACAGCGTAAGGTCAAATTTACAAAATTCAGGGTGTAAAGATGCTGAGTGGTCCCCTGCAAGACTGACAGAAGCACCTGAGAAGGTTAGGTATGAAACCCAGTGCAAGCCATCTGCCTTTGCATATCTGCTCATCTAAACAGCTTTGTAAACCTGACCCTTAGATCACCTGGCCTTGAAGCGCTTGCTCAGACCTGCTTTGCCTTGTGAATAGCGCTGTCCGTTTGCTCGTGAGCTGACACAACAGCATCCTGCAGTGAGCGGATGACGTGCACTAAAGCAGCGCAAAGCGTATTGCAACTTCTCATTCTCCCCACACAACAGCTTCGGTGACCTGGCTGCCTGTGACAAATTCTCACTAGTATTCCTAATGGGCAAAGTCAGCTGTGGTGTCACTGGGTACAGCTCCACCTGCTTCATAAAACATTTTGTCGGAGCGCCCCACCATTAGATCTAATCGTTATCAAATATCTGAATGTGGCTTTTCAGAAACAAATTTGAAATGTCTGATATGTTCTGATATTTCTTTGATGGTCTCTGAAGTAGTTAGATCAAAATGCTTTGAATGCAGACCGTCTATACTCAACAGCCTTTAGTTTAGCACCATGACTCATTTCCAGCAGAGAGAAGAAATAGATTCCTGTGCCGAAACCAAAAGCTCAGTCTAAAGCCCAGTGAAATAAATGGGAATCTTTCCGTGGACTTTGGCAGATTTTGGATCAGGTTTCAGATGGGATTTAAAGGTTACTAAACTCCTTTGGAGATTACAACCTCCAAAGTTTTTCTACCTTTTTAAAGTCCCATTATTAACATCTGGGTATCTGTGAAACGTATCTTACACAGACTTTGTGAACCTAATGACAGGTATGACATAGGCAGACTAATGCAGACTTATTTTCTCCAAGTTTATTTAGTGTATTGATTCTCCCTTTTGGACAAAGGATTTCTGTTAAGATTTTAACTATTAAACTGTATCGCAAATGACCAGCTACCAAGCTCCCCAAATGGTTTACTGTATAATACTGTAAAAATTGCCTTTCCCATTAGTTTGACCCTCTAAAAGGATAAATGCCTCTTTATCTCTTAAATCAACTTCATATTTATGACTTCCTTATCTCTTTCCTGTGTAACATAAGCTAAACATTATGAAAGCTCTGCCAAATATCTAAGCAATAATAATTTGATCAGATAGGAAAGAAATCTGATTCCATCACCTATGTTTTTTCCTTCAAAAGCTGCTGTCTGTTTTTTTTAACATGAATTTGCTTAGACCCTGCCGCAGGATAGTTGGGCAGCGCAAGCTGTACTCTGATGCACACGCATAGCCCCTGCTCCCGAGGGGCCGAGGCCCGAGGCACCGAGGTGCTGATGGGTTTCACGTTAAAACAGACACATTAGAAAGGAGGAGAAGTGACTTCATCATCATCCTCTCTCAGTGGCTCTGGCTGGAGGAAGAAGCTGTTACAACAACAGAGCTCTGTCTGTAGAGATAGCCCAGAGGATAAATTAACCCCAGGATGTGCTGAACACTTTTCAAGCAATGCTGGCAGCCGTATTTGGATGGGAATGCCCAAGAGAACACCCCCATGCTGCTGGAAACGTTGCAGATGATTCAGAAATATTCCTCCTCCTAAGACAGTGCTTCAGGATGTTGTTTCTGCTCTGCTGAAGATCCCCAGCTTTTGGTAAAAGACCCAACACTGAGCCCATTATCCCAGTATTTTATGTGGCCTCATGGTGTACAATTTCATTCATTTTCCTCTGACTTTTCTATTTAACTTCTCCTACAAGTATAGTTAAGCATACGCCAGAAAAATAAGTTGTTTAGGTCCCCAGTGTTGAAGAATTAGGGTAAAGGAATGCTTCAGCATATTGAAAAGTCCTCAGAAACATGTAGC